TAAAAAAATAAATCATTATAAAACATACGGAATTTTGATATAGAATCATTAATTACGTATACAAACCTTAAAAAAAAGGTATCATTTCCTTATTTCGATTTCTTATAGGATTATAATACTTTTCGGAAATTGTTTATGGGAATAGAAACAAGAAAATAGCATTCATCTAGCTAGCTTATTTCTCTACTTTAAAAATAACATAGTTGTCATTTACATTGCTGTCAAGTGTAAAGATATACTTTTATTATTCAAAATATATATTTATTATAAAATAGTTTATCCAGCAGGAAAATATACCAAAGCAAAACATGCATTGCATCGCAAAAGGATTTACATTTTTGTCGTATTGGCCTATTTAATTTATACAGTTGTGAAGTAATTCATTTCATACCTCCAAGTTATTATAATATAATCAAGATTTTACTCCAAAGTATAATTTGAGAAACTGAGATTTTTCGTTTTATTTTATTTTTGCGATGTAATAATTCTAAATAAATTTATTTTTATTTTTATTTTATTTTTTTGTAGTAACTAATATCGAAATTCAAGATATTATTGCGTTTTATAGTAATAAATTCATTATAAGGTTAATCCCCAAATGAAAAAAATTGAAAAGAATTAAAGAAAAGAGAAAACTTTTTAAAAAAATCTTATTTTATTAAAATTCATCAATTGGAGATTTGTAGTATTTTTTGGTATGGCATATATTGAGGCATTTTTAACGTATTGTATATAATGAGTAAATATGTAACCTTTGAAAAGGTTACAATATTTCGACAACTTTTTATTACAACCTTTATTGCACTTTACAAGTTGAATCTGTATGATTTCCTTCATATAATACAGAAGAAGATTTACGTCCAACTCTGCATAACCTTGAAATTTTAAGTAATGCTGCCAACGAAGATGTTAAACATCAACTCAAATCAGCATTTTACCCTTTTCAGAATGTTACAAATGCCCAAAATGACTTAAAAAGAAAAATAGAAAATTGGTGGTGGATACTTATTTATGTCAAAGCGATGCTGAATCTGTTCAAATGTTTAGTCAAGTTCATCAACGTAACGTAACAAGTCGTAATAAAAAAGTGTACTTACGAGATATATTATATTCAAACTTTATATTTTGGATAGGTTTTGTACAGTCCAATTGCAATGCTGAAACACAACTAGTTCTAAATTTTCCGCAAACAGATTTTCGATGGATTTTACGTGACAACAAAGTTTAATAGCCAAGATATCAGTTCAGATACAATAAAAAAACACGATTAACATTGATGATACATTAACGACAGTTATCTAATCCGAAAAATCTTTATTTCCTGATTAACGATTTCGTTTTTGATCGTTGATAATTTGACAATTTGGAATTTTTGTTATTTTGGTTTTACTTGTGTAGAAAAAGGATTAATTCATCATATATATATATGATTTGTAGCAACAACCACGATCTAATAATCGAATTCGAAACTTTTGGCGATTATATATGGTGAGTCATTTGTAATTGTTTCGAATTAAAAGAAGTAGCTGGAAAAGTTCTTAGTATGTAATTACGGGTAGTAACAATAAAGATCAATGAGCTATCTTTCGTGGAAATCGAGATCTCTGTTCATTCAGCTAAAGGCCAATCGGGCCAATAATTTAATGAATTATTACAAGCACTCCCATAATCCATATCATGGGAAATAAAAAAACTTATTCTTAAATGAAATACTTTATTAAAGATCAATAACGTGTAAAAAAACTAAAAAAAAAAGCTATCTCTATAATCATCATGGTTTCTATGGATATACAATATATAAATTCGAAAATCATACTAGATGGTAATTATAACCGCATTATATTTCTCGTTACAATTTATAGGGATAATGTTCCAGCTTGCCATCGGTATTACAATATTCAAACGGAACTTTGTAATGGCGAAAGATGACGCCTAACAAAAAAATTTCGTTTGTGGCCCAAGTTCGCGAATCGATTATAACTTTCTGTTCGTGCCCATGAAAGTGTTTTGAAGTAGAATGGTAGAGACCACCTACACATTTTTGAACATCTTCGTACTGAAGTCTATTGTCTTCACACGCTTTCTGTAAATATTTGGTAAATTTCTCATCTTGGGACAAGCGATTCAAGGCTTTATCTAAGGTTTCCGTAAAAACAATAGACATATCCTTTGCTAAAATCTATCATAGAAAGTAGGAAAAAAGTCCCTCAATATTCAAAGATCGGATGTTAAGAACAAACAAATGCATAAATCATTACCTGTGCGCGAATAAATTCTAACGCGTCTCTTACATTACACATATGCTTCATTTGCAATATCGAATGTGCGCGGTCTTCAGCTATATGTCAAAAGTCTTCCAATTCAACTCTCAGATTCTCCTTCTTTTCCAACAAATCTTCACGCTCATTATTCTTCTTTTCCAATAAATCCTCATGCTCATTATTCTTCTTTTCCAACAAATCTCTCTGCTCTTTCTCCTTCTTTTCCAACAAATCTCTCAACAATTCTTTTTGTTCTTTCTCCTTCTTTTCCAACAAATCTCTTAACAAATCCCTTTGTTCTTTCTCCTTCTTTTCCAGAAGCTGATCAATTTGGTTAATTACGTTATTCTGAGCTTTTGGGTTGTTGGCAAGTTCAGTTAGGTCGATAAAGCTAAAATTATGAGAATTCACATAACTGATTTCTTTATTGCTAGAGTAACCACGTGTCCACCGAAAATTCAATAAAGGCAAACGAAGTTTACATATACATAGAGTGTAATGAGATGCTCTTCTCCACAGAAATCTCGAGAGCTTAAGTGCAAATGTTGAAACTGACATATTACTCTGTTACAATATTGGGAAAAAAATTTTTTGTTAGGGTTACTGTAATTAGGAATGCAGAATTATGTATTTATGTAACCCAAATGATCTGCAATTTTTATACGAAAACGACGATTTTTTTTTAAATGCATTAATAAAATCAAATTCTTACACATCTACTGTATTATTAACATATGAATTATGTAGCTTAGTTTTAATCATTTAATCATTTGAGCCTTTTTTTAAATAAAATTAAAGAAAATTAAATAATTTTCTTTTTATTAATATTTAGAAGACTGGAATCTTTGATCAAAGGCATATAAATATATAATTTTAAGCAATTTTAAGCAATATTAGGACTCTGTTTACAACTAAGATAGATCATGCAAAATTTTACTTTTATATATAATCTTATCTTATTCTAAAATTTTTTTTATTAATTAATCTTACTAATATTTTAATTAACTTTTTAAATTTATATATAATCTAAATTTAAAATTAAATAAAATATATTATTATATTATTTTATTTATTTAAATTATTTATAGATTAATTTATATTTGTAAAAAAGCTATATAAATAATTTTTCATATAAAAAATTAAAAAATACACAATTTTAGTTAATTCATTCTATTTCTTATAAATTAATTACTATTCAATTTTATATAATCAGATGGATCTAGTGAGCTATATATAATTTATTAATTTTTGATTAGCTATAATCACAATTGAATTATTAGATAAAATTATAATTCAATAAATTCTACTTAAAATAAAGGGTCTGGATTTAATTTAATCACAATTATTTCAAAATTAGTTGATCAAAATTCAATGAAAATAATGAAAATTAGCTCATTGGATCTGTTATGTCAAATAGATTTTATTCAACTTTATTTATGACTTAAAGACCAGTAATTATAGCAAAGAACAACTGACCAATTGAAATCAGAAAAATGTCAAGAGATTTTTAAAGTAACTCTATAATTCAAGTCAGGAATATTACAGATCTGTTATATTAATAATACTTCTATAACTATATATATTCAAGCCTATTTAATACATCTAGAATTCTACCTAACTGTGTTATATTCTAATAGGATCATTTTAGTAATAGTGTTGGTCTTTACTAGAAGATTGTATGTCAATTATAATCAAAATCTGATAAACGGTTATGATACTTTGTATTATGTACTTGGTACGGGAACTTCATATCTAATAAATCAGTTTGGTCTGTTATGAAGTAACCTTATGCAACTTATGCTCTGGATAATATAGATAACACATAATCAGGTGAACCCAGTCTATACTCTTATCATTAATGGTCTTAATGATGATGATGGTCTTAATAACGATAATGGTCTTAATGATAGTGATGATAGTCCAAGTGATAAAGAAGTTGCAGAAACAAGAATCAATAGTCATAATTCAAGATTGAATATTCAAGTTCAAAATGACTTGAATAACATGGTACCTAACATTGTCAACTTGTGATTCAAGAATTAATAGTCAAATTCTTACTCCTTTGAATTGAACAGCAACTTTAAGAATGTTATCGACTCATGATTCAAGGCCTTATAGTCAAATTTCAAATGATTTTACTCCTTCAAATCAAGTAGGACCTTTAATTATTGAGGGAAAATAGTCCGATTGACTATTCAGGAAGAAACGAATTTGATTGTTCAAATATAAATTCGAGAATGATGTCGGAAAAAAGTCCATTCGACTATATTCCTTCAAATGAAACTAGACCAATATCAAGAGCAAATAGTCCATTTGGCTATGTTCCTTCAACAGAACTGTACCTTCAAGATTGATAAGACCGACACCTTTAGGGCCAAAAGATAATACATTGAGCTTCTTAATAATACATTCTAGATACGATGAATTTCAATACTATTGGTAAAGTCATTCCATCACCATTTAACGAAATGACAATTTATCAACTTTGTTCGTGATTATGCATGAACCCTAACATTTTCAGCTGGTAAATAATATGTATTCGTCTATGCAAGCAAACCCTGGCTGTAAAAGGATCACAATCAATACCTTCTATCTCTAATGAATTTTCGATTACGTTACAAAACTAAAAGAATAAGAAAATGTCTTGTTGTGACTTATTTGGATGAGCTGAAATGACTCTTTCTTTGAGTTTTTAATCCTTTTAAAAGAGCTTCAAAAAATTGATAAGTAAACTTATCAAGTGTGAGCTCAATTCTGCTGAAGGCATCGAATGGCTTTTTTTAAATAGCAAATAGACACTTTGGTGATTTCCATAACAAATTTGTCAACAGTGTCGAGGATTTGGTCGAAAAATTTCAAAGAAAAAAGAATCATGTTAGTATCATTTTTTTATTTTTATTATTTATTACATTTAATAATGAATTTATTTTTATTGTTTGTTACGATTTTAAATTATTGCTTATAGATCGGGTCCTTTACAAAAAGAAGAAATAATCGATTTTGTGAATTAGTCTCAACGGTTCGTGTGTTGGGTCGTTGGTTAAATGCAACTAATATGGATGACTATGAATTATTCGTCAAGAAACACAGATAATTCTATCACACATCCTTTAGCTAATATTGTAGTACCATCACGAAATGGTAAAAATTTCGCTAGCAATTTACATTTATAATTAGAATAATTAAAATAACATAGTCTGTGTAAAATAAATGCATTATATATAAATTGGTTTATTTCCTTCAATATAATAGTCGCAAAATTACGCTTGACAAAAAAATAATAATTACATAAATTACTAAACTAACCATCTTTAGATAATTTTCACACATCGTGCAACCTAATTGTTTTGACTAATTTTCATTGACTAATAAATCTTTAATATTCTGATGATTGAAGTGCCGGCGATGTATTTTCTACTTCGTAACTTAACGTTATCGATACGAGACCAGGTGAATAAATTTCGGGATTTTGCAAAATACGCACTTTTTCATAGAAAGCAATAAACCAAGCTAAATAAATTTGTAATCCTTGAAAAATCAACCATATTTAAGGACGAATCAATCACAGAAATCACAGATAATTGTCTGTCCAATCATATCATTTTCAATTTTTGTATAAATATCCAAATGTCCGACAATTTGATCAGAATAAAAATGCGTGACTTAAATATATCAACATCGACACGAAATTTCTTACGTTTACCTTTCACATACAACACCTCAATAATAAAAAATGATGAGAATCGAAGATGAAATTACCAATATGAATGATGATAAGTTGACAATAAGCGATTACATTACAATGTTCGTTGACACATATCTTCTACCAGATTTAAATCATTTGCAAGGTATCGCAGGTCATATTATGGCAATTTTCTTGAATATTATTCTCATTTCAGTGAGATATTCAGGTTATAGAGACAATCCCTCACAAAAAGAAAACCCTTTGCAAGATGGTTTTGATGAAATTAATATAAAATGTGAAGAATACATAGATAAATATTCTACTATAACATATGTATTATTGATATCAAGTATTCTGAATGTAATATATCTGTGGTGGTGGAATTATAGAATTTATCATTTCTTTTCTCATAAGCAAGATGAACCTTTAAATATACCACATGCTAACCTTGTTTGTGTCGACTTGCCATGGTACGCTCGAAATCGCCTCGGATATTATATGTAATAATTGTTTACTTTTTATAAACCGAATAATTGAATCACCTGAAAATTCTTTAACTAATGATGAACCTTTTTTATTGATAGACATCAACAAATTTATGAGTTGAATTATGACAAACCATATGAAGAAGGTCAAAAAGTTTGGGAAATTTGCGTATGGAATCCGAACAAATTTTGTCTTAATTTACTTTGTGGATTTTCTCCGGTGCAAGTTAGTATCCTTATGCTAATGAACAAGGATACTTGGATTCCCAGTATCATGTTAGCCGGGTTATTGGCCTTACAAATGTATTTCTATACAGACAAATTCATTTCATTACTTTTGGACAAAGAAATTATATTTAGAGAAGTCCAGCATGAGTATGATACGAAATTTGTTAAACCAAGTATTTTCCGACAAAAGAAGAATTTCGAAATTCAATCAACCCCACAAGAAGAGATTATAAAAGAATTATTGCGTCCCAGACTAGTTGAGGAACGACGTTATGGGAAATTTGATAATCCGTGGGCATCATGATGTCAGTCAGTAGAGTTTAGCATTGTCATTTTTTTTTTTGCTGAAAATTGTAGCTGATCAATATTTGAAAGAAACAAACCTCATATACATCACAAAAGTAGAAAATAGAAAAAATTAAACCACAAAAGATAAGATTATGCAATCAGAGTTTTTTTAATTTCTGGCTTGTGCATATCATTATTTGAAAACGATACTTATTTCGAAAAAAAAAAGGATTTTTATTTGTTAATATTTTTCTTGTCCTCTTTTACCTTCAAATTCATTTTTTCTTTTCTTTTCAATACATTAATTTTCGATCGAGACACTGAAACCATTTCTGATGACATTCCAGATTGTATCTGGTGATACACTACTCACTTTCACTGCTATATCGCGTAAGATTTTAAGATTAAAAGTGAAATAGATTTTATTATACATTAATATTTTAATTGACACTTTAAGATAAAGTATATACACCTTACATAAATATAATAACAATTTAAAATAATACTAATCAAAAAACAAAAAAAACAAAAAAAAATACATGTAAAAAATAGATAATAAAATAATAATAATAATAATAATAAATGCTATAGACCCGAGAATAAATATAATGCCTTTTATAAACATGACTTTTGATCTATGTATTGTAATACATTATCTATGTAACAAAATACAAAAATAATACAAAAAAAAAAAAAATATTTCTTACAAGTAATTTCACATAATTCTAGTTATCATTTTCTACCCATCTACAAACTCTGAGAGTTAATTCTTTCTTCCAAGAAATTAAAGATTGGCGTTCTCTTGGATTAAATAAACTCCAAATCCCGACCCAAACTCTTTTTCCAACCCAGCACATTCTTTCCCAAGATAAGATAGTGGCATAAGCAACCGTAGTCCAAAAAAATGCATATATACACAGGCCTAATAAAAAGACATCTTTGCGGGATTGGCATTCATAAAGGTCATACATTTTGATAAAATGTACCATAATCGCAGTATATATAATATCAAAGGTAATAAATAATACCAATCCCGACATCATTTTCCATGTTGCTATAACATCTCTACCTGGCCATCTTGTTATCGCTAATGAATTATCATCGTATAACATGGCATTTTCCCCTTGTTTTTTACCAACATATTTTGCTATAATTCCAATTGGGAAAAATAAAACCAATCCTGGGATGGTTAATACCACGAGAATGATAAATAATGGTAGATAGAAAAATAAAGATATTGGAGTAGTGGACATGTGTGGTGGTGATAATCGATGACTACGAAGCTTTTGTACATATGCAACAACATCGTATTTTAGTTTGCGTGCTTCGTCTGTTGGTGGTGTATTTGCAGCATATTTCTATTTATAAAATGGAGATTAATTAAAATATTAGGAAAAAAAAGAGAGGGAGAGAAAAGGTGTAACTTACTTTAGCTATTTTTCTTAACAATGCCAACTTTTTAGGAAAACTTAATTCATTTGGTAAACTTTCCCGATACAACCGTGAAGCAGTTTTGAAAAATAGAAGGGTATAATAATCTGGCGCATTAACGGTTAATTCAGACAAAGAAGTTTGAATGCTTTTCAAAAGTTCTTGACAAGCTTGACGTTTTCCCTCAGCGCCAGATCTATATAATTCAACTAATCTTGGTTCAATTTCTATTGGAGGACCAACATCAACAAACACACGGCTTCTAAATCGATGACGATTAAAAAAATTCAAACCGCAAGGGACAATTTTTAATTTCTTTTCATTTCCAAATGAATCCGGTTCTCTTGAAGCCAAATAACCTAAACTCATTACAGCACAACCGTATTTTAACGACAACATATGTTCATTGTCATGTGAAGTTCCTTCAGGAAATATTGCAACACATTGTGATTTCGAAAAATGATTGTAAACTGCGGAATAAACTTCAGAATGTGGTGGCATATGTGTATAAGAATATGTTGTTGGTATACTTGGTACACAAGGAAAGTTAGGTTTATAAATCGGTGTTGATTTTTTATGCGTCGTCATTGTTGATGATATTGATGATGATGGTGATGATGATTCACTATTAACATTAAGCAATGGTGTTCTCTCTGTTGCTTCCGGATTTTGGGGATATATTACAATTTCATCAGGTTGATCATCTTTGATTAGGAATGGTAGCTTACCGGGAGATGATGATAATCTATCCCAACTTCTGCTTACGCTTTGAGTTACTGATTTGGGTATGAAATTTAATCCTTCCAATGTTTTTAATGTATTGCCCCTCTCAACTCTAATGACCACACTACCATATTCAACCAATCGTCTAAATTTCCCTTTTCTTCTTCCTTTTGTCAACCATTTCATTCCGGGATCTTTTATACGTATCAGATTTTCATTGATAATTTCTTCTACCGTACCACTCGCCTCTTTCAACATTTCATTATTATCAGGACCTTCGAATTCAACATAGAGATTATCTCCTACTTTTAATATTTTTCCAAGTCCTTCTCCTTCGACTACTCTCCCTTCTTCTATAACTTTAACTAATCCATCTCCATTAACCCTTTCCACATCCTGTGGTCTCGTTACCGGTATACATCCAAGTATTGTTATGATTGTTCCAAATATAGGGTAATTAAAATTCGCTTTTGCGCTTAAAAAATACATATTTCGTGGACAGGTCACGAATATTGTTATTGCGTCCATTAAAAAATTCCCATGTGGTGCTGCTATAAATAATATTGGTGTACCATCATCTTCTGGGAAATTTTCTCGATGAAATGCTCCATGGTCTCGATAGAATATTGTAAAAATTATTTTTGCAAATATTCTTATTAAAGAATAAAAGATATTCCTTAGAGTACTTCCTATTGACATTTTTGTTTAATAGTTCTACTACTATACAAAGTATTGCATGTAAAATATATATATATATAAAGATATTTATATGTTTTTTTTATTATTTAAGGTGTGTTCACAAAACAGATTAATAGTAAAAAAAAAAATAAAAGTACACGAGCAGAACTTTTTATATGCTCAAAGAAAAAAGGTTTTAAGGGTTAAGATTGAAACCAAAAAATTCGGCACCGATCTACAGATAGATTTTAATCTAACGTTTTAAATTATAAACCCTAAATTACTATAACAATCGATCGCCCAAGTTTATGAAGTGGCTTTGGCGTTAAAATTGATAACACAATATATATCGTAACACGAGATTAAAAAAACCACATACTAAAAAAGCAATTAAACAAGTTTTATCAGTTGGTATTGTTTAGCGTAATGCTCACAATACCCCTGAATTTTGAATGAATCTTGTTCGAAAAAAAAAAATCTTTGTTGATTTAGGAAACTTATTTTTCTTATCGCCAACTTGCAGAATGCATATTCAGATACGAAAAACCAAAGTAATTTCTCAAATATCCGAGGCAAGAAATAATAAGGTTTAATAAGATTGTTGGCAAAAAAAAAAAAAAAAAAAAATATTTCAAAATCTTTCGCCGCTTAAGCCCATTTTCAAAACCAACGAAATTGGCGAACGAAAAAACATGAACTGTCAAATCTTATTAAAATCCGATGGTATGGAACAAATTTTTTTTTTTGTGTTAGGTGTGTTATCGTGTGACATCTTGTTGCTTTTCGTGCCAATCCTTTTTAAAACATTCCATGATATCATTAATTTTGGCGTTTGTTTGTAGTGAGTTGTACACGCTATACCCTTTGAAACAAGGATAAAAAAATTTTTTAGTATTTTTGAATTTTGATTTATTTGAGTTTAAAAAATTTTGGGGAGGAAGGAAGGATCATTATTAAAATGGACGCGTTTTAACTTCGTTTAACGAATTTGCATGAGATGTCATGTATTTCATAATCCTTAAATGATTTCTAGATGAACCCAAAATCTTCTAACCGAAAAAAAATCCAATAGCCCCAAATATTTCATACAACCAAAATTCTATTTGACATTACAAAAGTTGATCTATCCCATGGTCAACCACATCCGTATGGTTAAAACGCGTCTTTATTCTTTTACCCATTCTTTTATTCTCTATTTTTTTTTATTACTGCGGACTTAGGAAATAAATCATGTATCATTAAATTACGTGCAACGTTTACATACATATTTCACTTCAATTAATGAGATGACGCAAAATTTAATTAAACCTTTAGATCATCTATTGAGTTTTAATTGGATGATATGTTGATCGACGCTTCCCGTTTTTTTTAAATTGCGCGCGCTCTTTTAATTATTCAATGTTATAAATAACATGATATAAGCATCTTTTTCTCAAACCTTTTTGTCTTAAAAACCACACAGCGTATTCTCACTTTTGCCGAAATACTAAAAAGTAATAGATAAAATCAGTTCAAGCTTATAAACGCAAGCCGATTTGAATAGATCGTGGCTTTATTTGTAAAAAATGGCTTATACTTTTGCTAATGTAAAAATTGAAAAAGCGGGATTGACGGTCACTACAAGTGATGCTACAAGCGAGCATCATCCAACAAATACTATCGCTGACACTCCAGACGAAGATGGTAAACAATTTTACTATAGACCTATTAAAAGGCGGGAACAAAAGTGGGTTCTTTATTGCACTAAGCTCGGTGCTGCATTAGCACGCGAATTAAAGAGAGCTAACAGTGACTCTGAAATTCCAACTGGTAAAGTTGATTTTACTGATAACGTTCTATTTGATCATGCCCTAATTTAATAATAATAAATGATTGAAATTAATTTTTCTCTTTTACTAATTAATTTTCTTAGAAATATTAACGGATTTGCCTAAAGGTTATCAACTTTTTGAACACGTTAAGAATTATATTAATGACCCAAAGAAATATAGGACAGACACGTACCTATTTGGTAAGTATTTATTTCTATTAATGAAAATTTTGTTAAAATTATTCTTATTATCCTTTTTTAATCATTCTTTATTACCTCGTTTATATATAGGATTAGGTTCGATCAAGTTTCGATCTCCTGCAGAGTTTGAAGATCATTTGTTGTGGTTAGCGTCGGATCAATCGACTCAATGCATATGCAAATATTGTTCGAAAGATTCAACTCCAAGGAAAAAAATACAATCTACACCACAAAGGTCTGTTCAACAGACAACACCTCAATCTGCTCTTACAAAGAAATCCTTAATAGTTTCACCATCTAATCAGGTTGAATCAAAGTCAAAGAAAAGTACCTCAAATAATGAGCAACTTCCTTATGACATAAGTTATTATATTCGAAGCGGAGAAGTGGCTTGGTTTAAAACATCAACGATTCTTCCTGATAATCATCTGGAAGAATTAAAGAAAGGAAACGTAGACATTGGTCATTGGCCAGGATACGTTATTGAGCGACAAAAATTTTCACAAGCTGCAAATGATAAGGTCACTAGATCACAGATCGGTAAAATAAGTTATAGGGTGCAGCCTTTCAACGTGGCAGGAGTATTAAAAGCATTGGAAGATCAAGTTGTTCCTTGGCTGATGTTATCATCAGAGAATTTTGTGAAAAAAATTTATAAAATAAAGGAAGATCATGAAAGTCAAGGAAAATATTCTCCAACATTAATGCGTATTATCAGCTTATTTTGTTCAGCATGTGATATTGCAAGAAGGATTAGCAAAACTTATGCTCTCCTAGATTCTTACACATATACATTTCCTCCGCTATTCCTTCAAAATATTAAAGATTTAGAAGAACGAAGATTGCTTCAAGAAATGGAAAAATGTCCACATTACAAATCGATATTTTTTGGTTCTGAAATTTTAAAGGAGGAAGATTACGTGAGAATGAACGATGTTGTATCCAAAGGAAATAATATCAGAGTTTTCAAGATTAACACAATATATAAGAATTCTGAAAATAAGTTATTCTTTAATGGTGATATTTATTTAAAAGCATCTACGAAGAATGGTAAGATCAGCTGGAGCAGATTAAATGAAGAAGATAGAGAATATTTTATCGAGCTTAAAGAAATTTCTGGTCGTTATTATGATACGCATCCTTTTATAGATAAGAGTATGGAAGTTGAAGAGGTAATTAGCTTTAATGAAAGAAAGAACTTATTGGAAATACAAGAGACGAACAAAACGACAAAGCGATCTATAGCCTCCGACGACCCACTCGATACTTCAACAAAGAAACCAAAGGTACGGAATGAAAACGTATCCCCTCAAAAAAAGGCTTTGCAACATAGTCATCCATTAGATATGAATTCGAAAGAGGTTGGAATTGTTAAACAAAAAGTTGATCCACTCGTTATTTCACCAACTATTCCGTTTTTGGAAGAATCTGATGATGAGATATCAGAAGTTGATGGAAAATTGTTTGAAATGCTTTCAAATAATTCTTGATATTATTTTTCATTTATGGTATCATGTTAATAACACTTTTTATTGGTAAATTATGTAATTATTGCAATATCATTAGCATTTTTGTACAGAATTCTTTTATTATTAGACATACTTGATGTAAAAATATTAAAATTGCTTAATCTTGTAGTTTACCAATATGATCAAAAAGTTTTACATAAATGAAGTTTTTGTTGTAATAAAATTTTTAATCTGCAATGCTTTTTTTTTGAAGTTCGACCGATCTACTGATCGACAAAACAGGTGTTTTCCTAACTGGGGAACAAAAGAAATTTACATTGTAATCGATCGTGTAACTTACTATCTCCGATTTAGTAAGCCAATCATTTTTTTATAAATTTTGTTGATAAACTTGAACCGCGTTTTTTTTTTTTATTTTTCGAACAGTTTTCCAATTTATAAATGGATAACGAAGGTACTACTTAATTTATGACTACTTTTTATATAGAAAAGATGGAAAAGAACTCTTTTCGGAGCTTGACTTTTTTTGAATTATTTTTTATTTTAAATAGTTGTAAACTTCTATGATTATTATTCAATAAAGCATAAATAAATAAAGATAATTGCTAGGAAAAACAGTTTCTGAGATTTTTAACAAAATTTTTTTATTTTTTATTGCTTTTACATAATTGAAAATTGTAATGTAATAAAAAAAACAATATTTTGTTAAAATATTCTCAGAACTAGCATATTAAATAATAAATATCAAAATGTTCTTTTTCTCACTTGCTTAATAAATAAAATATAAATATCATTATAAACAAAAAAAAATGTACTTATACGATTATTTTATTTTCGTTCATAGTATTAGCACAAATTGTTCATACATTGGATACCATACATAATCGTTTTGTCTTAAATGAAACAAGAATTAAAGCTCAAGAAGTAAGTTTTTCTTTCCATTTTTTTTTTTTTTTCATATTAATCCCTTGTAATATTTTCAAATTTATGATCTTAACACTTCTATAGTATTGTAATTCAATTAAAGAACATCCACTTTCGCCGATTTATGGAAGGCATTTAGCACATATCGAAAATAATCAATCTAATGCAGTACGTCATTTTGGGTTACAATTATTAGAACACGCAATTGAATTTAAATGGAATGATGGAACTTATAATGATGATGAAAAACAACAAATCAAGCAAGCTGTTATTCAGTTAATAGAAGAGGTACTTAGATCAATTCAGAACGGTTTGCCCCTTATTTATTTATTTATTGTAAAATTAATTTTGTATTTTTTGATTTAGGGAATACAAGATATCTTGAGAGAACAATCCTTCATTAAAAGTAAGGCTGCAAAAATATTTGCCGGTATAGCTAAAAAAGAATGGCCGTTAAGATGGGGTGATATGGATCAATTATTACAAGGGTTTTATAACAAAAGTGTAGGCTCTCTTATGTCACCTGTTCGCATATTTAAAATTTTCGTTTGTTAAAGTTTCTTTTCATTTATTATAGCCGACCACACAAGAAATTACGTTATTGATACATAGTTATTTGGCAGAAGAAACTGAGATTCGTGATTCATTACAATGCGTAATCGTAAGTTCAAATGTGTTGAGAATTCAATATCCTAATGGGGTAAAAAGCGAAGGAGGGCAACAAAATTCAGGAAAAGTCACCATTATGTTTGGTGATGATCCAAATAATGAGGGATGGTTAATTAGGTGGATAAGAAGTTTAGAACAAACCGTTGGAGAATGGCAACGTCAGGTAATCTTGCATTGATTTTTGGCAATGAAGAAAAACGTTTTAATTTAATTTTTAAAAAAATTTTTGTTAAAAAAATATATATATTAGAAACAATTGCAAGATCCAAGTCCACAAATAATTATAATACAGGAAAAATTATCAACTGCTATTTTAAATACTTTGGCTACTACTTTGGATTGGATCCTTACAAGGTATTATAATCAAAGAGTAATTTTTTATTTATTTATTTAAATATCTTAGTTTGATAACATTTTAATCAGATCAATTGTAGAGTCAAACGTTGTGCCGATTCTTTGTAATTGTTTGTTAATTGATTGCTATGAAATAAGAATGGTAAGTTTGCGTTATTTAATAATTTACAAACCTTTTTTTATCCTTTATATTATAACTCTCTTTTAATGATTGATTTAGAAAGCGATCGAGTGTCTTGTAATAATTTTTTCACGAAATTTAGGAGCAGAAGATCGCGCAATAGTTCTTGAACCGATATTTGAAGGGACGTGTCTGAATTTATTATATAACGCATATAATAAAATACAACCTTCGGGACAGGAAGTATTAATAGATGATGACGAATATTTGTATGTGAAAAGGTTTGCCGAGGTTTGTTTGTTTTATAGATGTATCTATATATATCCATATATAGTTTCTTATCATATAATGTCACTTGCTGTCATTATTTTGAAAAATTGCGAGTTGAAAACCTTACATCAAATCTTAATTTTATTTTATTTTATAGGCAATAGCTGAATTGGGAGAGAAACACATTTGTCATAAAAATAATTCAGTAATTCCGACACATTTTTCAAAGTATGTTTTATAAATATTTATTTATTTATTTATTTATTAATTAATATCTAAATATTTTTATTTTGTTTTTTTTATCTTAGGTATTTAGAATTAATTTATTTAATTTCAAATTTTCCATCAAATATGGTTGTATCTATATCGGTAACATTTTGGCAAGCTGCTATAAAGAACAATGTTACTTCAAAGGTAAGACACCATTTTAATAATGATTCCTGAATTGGAGATTTACATAAATTTTTATTTAGATAATTAGTGAACAAAAAGGATTGCCATTAATGTTGTTGGAATTATTTGCCAAAAGATTGTCGAATGTATGTATTTCGTCTTTTCATTTGAAATTAACGAGTTTATAATTAATGCGTTACATTTTCATAATAAAAGGCATCCCAATCTTCAGAGCCCGTCGATAGTATTGCGATGCATTATAATGACCTTGATTTTGACTCACTGAAAGATCGTCGAATTTTTGATCAATCATTACGCTTTAAAATTGTTGAGCTTATTAAAAGTGTTGCTTTATTGCAACCAATTGAAATTTTTAGCTGGATGGTTAATAGGATACAAGTTTCATTCAATGTAATACCTAGTAATGTAGATTTAGATGGTAAGCGAATACTTAAATAATGCATTTTTGTTAGTTCAAAATTCGAATATTTATTTACAATTTTTTTTTTTTTTTTAGTTGATGGAGTACTAAAACTTGATTCTAGATTTTATGTAATATTTGAAGCTGAAATGACCTTAATGGAATCAATTGTTATTGGGTTAGGAAAATTAATTAAACAACTAACTGACGAGGAGATTGAGAATGTTAATAATAATGATAAATTATTATTGAGGGAACAGATTATTAATGGATTGAATAATTTATTACAAATGTTATTGGGAATTGAATATGAGGTAAAGATTTATTTAATTATTTAATTTATTTTTTTTTATAACAAAACAATTTTTACATCATATTATTATTATTATTATTATTATTTATAGGATTTATCAATGATACACAGATATTTAGCAGCATTAGCAGCATTCGAAGAAATTTTACAGATTGATTCAAATTTATTATTTCAAGTTTTACAGAAGGTAGCTTGTAATTTCTTTCATTTCGATAATTGTATATAATAACATTGCAACAATTTTTTTATTATTAGATGTTTAAATTTGCGGTATTTTGTCCACCAGGATATAGTATTTCGTCGAATTCTTCATTGCCTCCGACAATAACGAGATTAAGGGTCGGAGCTCTTACTGCTTTGATTAGATTTGGAGTTGTTATGCCTGATGTTTTAATGGTTAAAAAAAATAACATTTAATATTTATTATTATGTAGTAGAATTATCTAAATGAATATTTGTTGTCGTTATTATTATTAGGGTATGTACTCCGATATATCTAAGCATGTTAATGAGATAATTAGAAGTGATAAACGTTTAGTTACCGGAAGAGAGAAAGGCCATTTTCAAGAACTTTTATTATCAATTATGTAAGTTTTTCTTATATTTTCATTTTCTTTTAAATCACTTTATTTTTACTTCATAAATTATGATTGTTTTTTAGATACTTCTCTAAAGTTCCATTCGAGCAAAAGCAGCCATTATTTGATTCGATTATTGGACCGGTTATTAGTGAATATAATTCTCCGGGTTTAGTTGGTTGCATCGAATCAATTCAAGGATTCATGGATAGTATTGGTCTGAGCTTTTTAGTTACAGTTGGTAAGTTTTAAAGGCTCATTTTCCGATTTATATATGATTATTTGTTTTTAAAAAAAGATAACCATACATTTCAAAAATTTAGTTGATGAAATGAAACAACGTGGGGTAATTAATTTAAAAAGTCCGGTATCTGAGAGCGATTTCCCGGTATTTAATAAATTTAAATCTAAAAGGAATAAAGTAAGTGTGAAACTCCTGAAAATATGAAAAATCGACTATATTGAAGCTTGAAATTTTTTAATTTAATTTTTATTAATAAATTGAAAGATAGCTTGGTTATTAATTGTTACGTTGACTTGGTTAAGAAGAACCACGGACTTTTCAGCCAAGGTAATAAAAGAACATTTATTTTTTGCAAATAAATAATTAGTAAGACGGTTCCAACTTAACTTTAGAAGAGAAATGATACGGCAATGAATGAGTCATTGAAGTTATGGCAACCATATATCCCTGTTATGTTAACGTTCATACTAGGTTTTATAAGGTAAAAATTACGAGAGATTTTTTTTTACTTCATATTTAATTAAAGTAATTTTTATAGGAGGTTACATCAAGTTTGGAATGTTGAAACATGGAGAGAAGTTCCTATAGAATTACATTCTATCTTATTATTCTCCAAAGAAGAAAAGGCTAAGGCCATAGGTGCAAGGAATTATAAATTTAAATATTCATGTGAAAATCTACTATTAAATTGCTAGTTAAAAATAATATAATTGAAATTTTTTTTTTCAGACATGCAACAAAAAGTTATAATGTTAGATTCACAACATTCAATTAATGGAATGATTGATACTATTAAAAAATGGCTTGTAGGTGTCAGAATTGATAGGTATCATCAGATTTTTTTTCTTGAGATTAGTTTTCGAACTTCTGACTAATTTGCTTATTTGGATTCAGTTATTACATACTTGGCCGATTGCCAGTCATTGGCCCTGATTTCTACAAAGTATTACCAAACATTACTGAATCATTAACCCAGTCTTTATTTGAGAATGCCGATTTTATTAATAATATTCATTGGAAAATGTTATTAAATATCCTTGATTCTTCTAAAAAAGAGGTTTCTTTATACAAAAATTGCATACGTACATACATATAAAAACAATTGCATCCTTAACCCGATTTCATTTATACCTACAGTATTAAGACCATATATATTATATTGTCCCGAGCCCTCAATGCTTTCAGGTCTCTTACCACAATTACTTAAATATATTGATGAGAAATTATTAACAGAATGGAATGCCTTAACAATAAAAGGTGTACATATTTCTACTTTAGAAGAGTAAGCAAAAATTACTTTTTTTTTTAATTTATTAATGGTTTATCATTTTATAAAAAGTTAAGTATTTGATTTCCTTTATTGTTTAGAACAAAGGCATTTGAAGAAAGTTCATTAGATATATATAGTGATGAATTTGAAGAAATCTTTGATGAAAGGATCCTTAAAGAATTAACGAGAGCTTATTTGGATGTCGTGGAGCCTATATTTGAAAGTGCTGGAAAGAAAGTTGGAGGAGCTGAGACTTCAGAAGGTGGCGCAGCTGTTGGTGAGTTTTCTTTGTAGTCGCCGTTTTCGTATCATTAAATTTTAAATTTTCATTTATTTAATATGTTTAATAAATAGAAAACGATAAATTAAAAGAATATGTGTTAGATTACATTGTAAGTATTTACATAAGTCTTGCTTCATTCATTATTATCATTATCATTTATTTTTAGAATAATAATTAAAAAAAATTTTGCAGCCTATAGCAGAACCCTTATTGACGAGTTTATGTCATCTAATGACATACAAGGATTCGGTATCATGTGTTCGAGCAGTACAATTATGTGCAAGAATATTACCAAATCTAATTAAACGAGAAGGATTAAGAGAATTTGTCGGAAAAGGATTATTAACTTCAGCTTTGCATGTAAGTAGTAACGGTAAAATTGTTCAAGATCGATCTTTCTATTTTTTTTTTTTAAAAAAAATTTTTTTGACGAACTTGTTTAATTTAGGCATTGAATGATGGATATCACAAAGAATTTCATCCTGTCATAGTATCTTTAATAACAGATATTTATATTGAATTAAGGCCTCTTTCCTCTGTACCTTTTGAAACCTTTTCTAGTTTATTGAATATGAATTATGAAAAGTTACAGGTAAGAAATGTATTTTATTTTGTTTTGTAATTTTCATTTTTCATTTTTTTTTTGATTTTTGTCTATATCTTTCTTTAGAAATTTGAAATTGAATTAAGTCAAGCAGCCGAATCCAAAAAGCGAAAAGTTGTTGTAAAGAAATTTTTAGAAGGAATAACTGGAGTAAGTAAATAAAATTGGCAAATTCTTTTGTGGCATTAATTTAATACTCCATTTCTTCCTACAAATTTTAGGTTTCAAAGGGTGAATGGTTTAAAATACCTACGTCAAAAAACCAAAATACAAGTTCAAAGAAACAACTTGTAGGGAATTATGTAAAACCTAAAATAGGTGTATTAGATGTTGTAGATGATCCAGAACAAGTTGGTTTGACCGATTTATTTGATTAGTACAAGAATTGAAGAAAATTTTATAGCAATAAATATTGTTAATTTAAAATAAATGGTCGATTCAATTCGTTCAATAAATAAACAAAGCAGTGACTATTTTACCAAGAATCAAAATTCTGATAATAATTTATTAAAAATGTCCTGTCAAAAAATTGGGTGTTTAAAAATTTGACCGTATATTAATTTTCTTGAAAAATAACAGTAACATTATATTCATTTTGTAAATCTTTGATCACTTTCAATTCGCTTTTATCAAAATCTTTTCTTCCACCAATTTCAAAATATTTTAATGTTCCTTTCACCATTGCAAAATCTCTCACGGTCATTAAATGAAAAATATTTAATTTCAAATAATCCAAGATTAATAAGCTAATCGGAGCTACACAATCTTTGCTTAATAACAATTCATATAATTGTCTTTCAGAAAATCCACATCGTAATTCCAAATACCAACAACTTGGTGGTAAATCTATAGCACGAACATTTAATTCATCATAATCACTATTCTTTGGACTAATGCTAATTATCAATTTTTCTAATAATAATCCATGAAATAAATTAAATAATAAGGAGGAGGAAATTTTCGATGAGGATTCTTTAATAACGTCATTGATGATAAAATAATCTCGGAGTTTCAATGTGGTAACGTTTTGACAATTTCGTCTCGTGGCGTTAATGATTTCTGGTGTGATTAAATCCAAGCATAATTCTTGACACGTTTCTGTAAGTGGAGATTCAAGGATTATTTTCGGAATTTGTGAACATTTCGGAGAACATCCAATGTTTAATGATTTCAACCTCATTCCATTATAGTCAAAAAAATATGTTGAATTGTCGTTTAAAAGGTTATTTGCTGAAGGTAAACTAGATCTTGTTAAACCGGTACAATGATAAATTGTAAGATTTTCTAATCTTTTACAAGAAGTTATCAAATGTAAATTAACCTTATGAAAATTAACATTTTTGAACTTCACTGAAACCAAACTATTACAATGAAAAGAAAAAAGGTTAGGTATGATAAAATTCGCCCCAATCCTAGCACCAGATAAATTAAATTCTTGTAAAGATCTTTGAGCCTTAATGATAGAAATTAATAAATCGATTATGATGGTATTGTTTTCAAAATAAGGTAAGGTAATGTCCAAGTAACATAACCCTTTGCATAATGAAGGGAAATATTGTAACAATTTGAAAAGGTTATCTGAAATGGGATTATAATAATTTAATGAAAATTTCGTGATTTGTGACAATCCCGGATAAACCTTGGAAAACAAGTCAATCTCGGGAAAGATATCGTTAATTTGTATGAAATATTTATCTATTTTAAATGATTGTAAATGATAAGATGAATCATTTATATTCTTTGTTAAAAACATTTTACATAATGATTTCGTTATTAAGAAGGTTAATTTATAAGTATTACGTCCAATGAATGATTTACGATAATATTTTATCCCAGAATCGACGGCTTGATATAATTCTACGTATGATAATTCTTTTAAATATATCGGGTAATTAAATAAGCTAATCGTCGTGTTTGGAATACTAAACCCGTGTTTCTTTAGTTGTAAATTTAAGAAGGATTTTTCTTCCGTCGAAAGACTTGTTATGTACGTTCTAATGAGTTTATATCTATTATCTTTTGGTAATTTATCAAAAGGTTTTGACCATAATATAGGTACCACTTTTCTACACCATGCGCGACATACCAATAAACACGAGAATAATCCCGAAAATCCTACGTTTTGAAATATTAGTGTGAGACATTCCGTTGGTAATGATGATAATTTCGTGGTTAATTCCAAGGATCCTCCTAAAGGAAATCCCCTCAATATTGATTTTTCTTCGTTTATATCATTTCCATGAATTCCTAAATCATTAAATAATACTTGATCACATTCAACTTCGAAGAATTGTTTGTGTAATTCTGTAGTCGTTGTTGATTTATAATTTAACAAATCATAGATACGACGAATTAGAAAGCATTTACCCATTTTGTATTTTTTTTGAACTTTTTTTAAAAAAAAAAATATAGTAGGGAGGAAAAAAATTTATTTTTTCAGTCTTTTTTTGTCATGCCTTTTCCATTTAAAGAAATTGTTGTGTAACTTTTGCTTCGAGATACTTCGCCATCTATTGTATCACATGTTTCTTTCTTTTTTTTCTGGACACGTTTTATTTGTTTGAACGGAACGGTAATAATGCATTTTATTCATAAGCAAAAGGAAATGATTAGATGATTGCACGAATTGTTAGATGGGACATACGCATGAGATATGATGATTCACAACAAAATAAAATCAAACAAGATATAATAAAGGAAAAGAAAAAAAAAAAAAAAAACTCGTATTTGAACTTTTCGGCTTAGCACGAATATCTTTACATACCAGCCAATGGCTAAGTTAAAAATAATATTTTTTTTTTTTTTGAAACCGGAAATATATGCACACAATATCGCGGCTTAGTTATTTATGATAAGCCATATCTTCCTATCTAGTTTTGTGAAATTTATCGCATCTGCAATTCTATGAAGCCAAGCCACAGAAATTCTAAATTGTTAGATTTACAAATTAATCTCGTGATTCTACTTTGACGAATTTTTTATTCTTTTTTTTTTTTTTTTTTTTTTTTGCAAATTCTATATTATTATTTAAAATTTACAACTAAAAAAAAATTAAATGATTGAAAATATTTTATAAAAAAAATAATAAAATAAATTATATAAAACTATTATTATAGAAAGATTTTTATTTGAAAATGTTAAATTGATAGCTTATGATATATAGAAAGGTTTGCTAGAAAAATGTGATTCTGAGAATTTTTTTGATTAAAATTTAATTCTTATTGCATTTTAATTATCATAGAATAGAAACAAATAGCAATATTTTCCTATTCTGATTGTGGTATATCTAGAGTTGGTAAAAGTCTTAATAAGTCCTAGTTGGTCTTTAATAATTAAAAGATAATTTTAATTTATATACTATTAATTAAATTTTTTAATAATAAATTAATCTTTTTAATAATTATTAT